CTGCGGTGGTGCATACATGTGTATATCCACGTGGTCTGTAGAGGGCCCTCTGGGACGCCTCTTGGAGGTCTCTTGGGCTTCCCGGGAGCGTCTTGGGGGCCTCTTAGGGGTGTCTTGTGGGCATGTTTGGGGTCTTGGAGGCAATCATGTGGGAAACGGCTGTCAAGGTCAGCTCGATGCCCCCCCCGTCTTGGGCTCTTCTTGGGGCCTTCTTGGGAGCATCTTGGGCCGTCTATGTGGCATCTTGGGCCAACGTGGGCCCACCTTACGGGCCGTCTTGAAGCCATCTGGAGGCCGTCTTGGGCTGCCGTGGGGCCGCCTTGGAGGTATGTTTGACAGTTGAAACAGTTTTGTTTGCCATGGGGCGTGTTTGTTAGCAGTGTTGGCTCTGTGTTTGCAATGTGCGTTGGCTGTTGTAGCTGTTTCTGTCGTGCTTTGTCCGTGTTGAACCCCCTCGGGAGGGGCATACGTTTCCTCCCCTCTGGAGGTGGGTTGGCCATTCACTTTCTACAGCGCCGGTTTTAATACAAGCTCCGCGTGCGGATCATGTATTAAAAATACAGGGTGTAGTATAACAAACAACGATGAGGACATGCAGAAATGCATTCCCAAATGAATCATGTGTTAAACATCCGATGTTTGTTTGTTTAAAGAATCCTATATACTAGAACCTGCCCTGTGTGTATCTGCTATAGGTTGGAAGGTGGCCCAACATCTTCAGGCATCTTGCGCTATCTTGAGCCATCTTGGAGGCGATCTTGGGCTCTCTGAGGCCCTCTTGGAGCCGTCCTGGGCCATCTTGGACGCTCTGACCGCTCCCCGCCCCTCCTGTCCAGGTCAGTGGGGAGGGGGTAGGGGGAGGGGTAAACCCCTCCCCGAAGGGGAAGAGGGAGGGGTGGAAGAGGAAACGCCCTAAACCACCGACGCCCAGAGGGCTGGTGGGATTTTCAGGGGTCTGGAGTTTTCGGAGTTCCTAGCCGCCTGGACTGCATCGGCCCCGGAGAGAGGGGGGGGGTCGGAGGGCACAGGCAGGCCCTGCCGGGCCGCGGGGGAGCCTCCCGGCGCGCCCCAGACGGTGCACGGAGGCCTCGTTCGGGGGCGGACAGAACCCCTAACGGTGGCACGTCGATCAGCGAATTGTCCGCTTTCGGTTCTCGAGAGGGCGCAGGCAGGCCTGGTCGTGGGGTCGGCCCTGGAAGCACAGAGGAGAAGCCCTGCAGGGCAGCGGGGGAGCCTCCCAGGCGCGCCCCAGACGGTGCACGGGGCCTCGCTCGGGGGCGGACAGAACCTCAGAGCCCCGAACCATCAGGGGTAACTCGGGTCAGGGCTAACTCGGGTTCCTTGTCCGGGAATCCGAACACGAGTTACCCCGGACCCGAGCTATCCCGGATAGTTCGGGCATCCAGAGCCCCACATCATCAGGGGTAACTCGGGTCAGGGCTAACTCGGGTTCCTTTGTCGGGAATCCAAACCCGAGTTACCCCGGACCCGAGTTACCCCGGATAACTCGGGCGCCCAAGAACCCCCAACGGTGGCACGTCGATCAGCGAATTGTCCGTTTTCGGTTCTCGAGAGGGCGCCGTGGCCGTCATTGTCCAGGCTTGCGCCCGCCAGGTTTGGGCCTCAGGTCGCTTTCACTGAACCACGGTTTGCTAAAGGGGGGTCCCTGAGTCGTGGCGGACACATACACACACACACACACACACCGCCTCGTCAGCAGTGTGTTGCGGCGATGTTGTGGTAGACGGTGGTTGTACAGGAGGCTCACGATGTGTGAATTGTCTGTTGTTTCTCCTCTCTCTCTCTCACTCTGATTCTCTCTCTCTCGACCTCTCTCTCTCTTTCTCTCTTTCCCCCTCACTCCCTCTCACTCTGTACGTGGACCTCTGTATTGCTCGTTTCTCCTTCTCCCATTGCTGGCCATATTCTGCCTTATCAGTTCCGCTCAGTTATGTGTGTTTCGAGGCTCTGACGTTATCCAGTGGGTTTTCGCCTCAGTTCAGTTGGGACGTGCTACCTTCCTCATCCACCCGTTCCTGATATCTCTCAGCAGTCTTCCTTTCGTACACAACGAACGGCGCCTCCCTGTCGCGCCGCCAGACGTGATGTTGTGGCGTTCTGGACGTTTCGCCTGAGAAATTCTTTCACCGTGTACGATATTGAAATTGAAGTTCTAGGCGCTGCGCGCAACCCATCCAGAAAGCCCACCCAGAAAGGATGCCCAGAAAGCCCATCCAGAAAGCCAAAATAATCTTTCACCGTATACGATCTTGAAGTTGAAGCCCATCCATCAAGGATGCCCAATTGAGTTGATCCTTAATCGGTTTTGTGGGGGAGCACGCAGTGGAGTCAAGCCTAGGAAGCCGTCATACCCCAAGATGGGGAGGATAGAGGAGGAACCATAGGAGGAGGAGGAGGAGGTTGAGGAGGAGGAGGAGGAGGAGAAGGTTGGGGAGGAGGAGGAGGACGACGAGGAGGAGGAGGAGGAGAAGGAGGAGGAGGAGGAGGGAGAAGGAAGGAGGGAGGAGGATGATTAGGCGGCTGAGAAGGGCGCACAGGACGGCCAGAGGCCTTGTATGCTTATCGGGGTCTCTTTGGATGTTTCTCGTAAGCTTCTTCTAGGCCTGTTGGGGTTGCTGGGGCGTCGTGGGGGGGCCTCCCTGGCGGCCCTAGGGGTCTCTTAAAGCGTCGCGGGTGCCTCGGGGAAGTCTCTTGGGGGGCCTCTTGGGGATCTCCTGGGAGCCTCTTTCAATTATCATCTTGGGCTCTTGGGCACACTCGGGGGCCATCTTGGGGCCATCTTGGAGGTGATCGATCAAAGAAGGGAGGGTAGTGCATCAGAGCCCCCCCCCCCCAGAGGCCAAGATTGGCCCAACTCCCTAGTATCAGCAGTGATGGTGGCCTTCTCGCCGAGGCCGTGTTGGACGCTCCGACACCTCGCGGAGCCCTCCGTCCAGGTCCGAGGGGAGGGGGCAGGGTGGGGGGGCAAATCCATCCACGAGGAGGAAGAAGAGGGGAGTTGGAGGAGAAAGCACCCCAAACCATTCACGCCCTAGAGGGCCGGTGGACCCCCCCCTCCACACACACACGCACGCACGCATGCACGCACGCACGCACGCACGCACACACGCACACACACACACACACACACACACACACACACACACACACACACACGCGCACAGTTGCACGCATGCAGGGCTGGCAGACTGGGCCACTCTCAAAAGAGCGGCGCGGGGCGGGCCAGCCTCACAACGGGGTTCTCGCCCTCGCGCTGCGCACACCCGTCTCTGAAGCACCCGCAGCGGGCGGAGGGCGGCTCGTTTTCAGAAAGGGGGCTGCCGGTGTCGAGCCGTCCTGCCAGCAGGCCACACCGATGACAGACCAGATGCGCAACGGTCACACGGATGGCGCCTTCTTCGGAATCGTGTGTTTCGCTTGAGGCATGGGTTGTCTTTGTGGCCAAGAGTTTGGGGCAGTGGAACAGCTCCACGGGTGGAGGGTGGTCATTTGTCGAGGAGGGGTCTCGTCGGACATTGAAATGTTATGACCCTCGCATCCCTAGCTCTATGGATAGATAACAGGGTCTTTCCAAAGTGAGTTCAAACATGAAGTGCACGCCCGCATATTTCACGTGGGTTCTGCGAGCAGTGCAAAGAATGCTCGCAGAGCCCTATAAGGAGGGGACTTTGAACCGGACGTTGTATTGCAGCATTGTTGATACAGGTTGGGCATAACATGGTGCCCTTCATCGTCATCCTCGCCATCCGCTCATCATCTCCTCAACCTGCTCTTCCCTCGTTGTCACTTGCTCTCCCTCTCGCTCTCTCCCACCCGTGCTTCTGCTTCCCCTCATCAACACCATCCTCCTCTTGTTATCATGATCCTCTCCTGCTCGTCCTCTTTGCACTCTCCTCCTCCTGCACTCCTCCTCTTCTTCTCTTCCTCATGCGGGGCTGGCCGGGTGCCAAGGCATGCTGCACGGCCCAGCGCCGTCTGTTGAGTCCGATCTCCAGAAGATTTTCCAGGAGCCGCAGGGGTAACTTGACGTCGGCGTTTCTACGTATCGGGGGTGGGGAGGCGAGGGATCAGAGAGGGCGAGGAACGCAAAGCGAGGAGGAGGAGGACGGCGACGACGACAAAGGCAGAGCTTGGAGGAGGAGGGTCGAGGAAAGCATAGCGCGGAGGATGACGAGGGGAGAGCGAGGAAGAGAATGAGATGCTCGAAGAGAAGAAGATGTTCGAGGAGGAGAAGGAGGTCTCGAGTGGCCTTCGGCACAGCACGCCTCCGAGCTTGGATCTTGGACCGGAGGCCCTCTTTTGGGAACCCTTGAAGGCAGCCTCGGGGTGGGAGGCCCCTGGTGATAGTGCGATTTCCCCCTCTTTGGGGACCTACTAGGAGCCTTTTGAATCCCTCGTGGGTGATGGTAGAAGCATGTGAGCTATGTGAAAGAATCCAGAGGGTGCTCGGCGATGGTTGCTTGTTTGGTCAGCCCCGAGAGCCTCCAGCACGGCCCAAGAGACCCCCAAGAGAGCCCCAGGCCAGCCTCATATGGGCCACCTTAGGACACGTGGAGAGGGTGGACCTCAACCACGTTCCTGAAGCCTCCAGAAAAATCGTTCAAAGTATACACAATATTCACCGCAGACAATTCGGAGGTAACCTGAGGCCATTTCGTTCAGTGTTTCAGAGCATTGATGTGGACTTGAGGAGGAGACAGTGAGCGAGGAGGAGAAATGGAGAGCGATGAGGAGGTGACGAGGAGGAGGACGCGTTTGGATGGGAGACGGAGGAGGAAGAGGTGTTTGTGGAGGAGGGTTCTTTCAATGACGCCAGCGAGGAGGCCAACCGCCACTGGCGAAACGAGGAACGACGGGCAGGTTCGAAGCACAGAGCGAGACGAGCAGGGTTCAGAGAGTTGACCGACGGTGTCCGTTGTTCACTCGCAGGCGGACACATAAACCGCCCTTATGATGGGCCGCATACAGTGGAGACCCATGCCAAGAAACACCCTGCTCGCCTCCACGGTGCCCTGGGTTTCTTGGGCTTCGATGGTTTTGCTTTGGAGATAGTTACCTTCCCACACCAAGAATCAACGGACGTCCTGGGTCTCAGGGATGGGCTTCTTGTGGAAGGTTTCTTGTGGTCGTGCCCCATACTGTACTCCTCTTCGTGCCCTTCCCGCGCCGGTCCTGCCCACCTCTCCCCCATGCCCGTCTGCATTGGCAGCTTTGAGCAGATCCGCATACTTAACAGGGCATCCACAGTTCGTGGTCAGCCCTTTGTCGAATTCGGCGGCGAGCGAGGGGGGGGAAAGTGAGAGAAGGAGAAGGCCTTCTCAGAAGGCGGCGGCGCTTCTCAGAAGTCCACCGGCCTTCCGAGAAGTTTTCAGCGTCTTCGGGGAAGGCTTCGACAGCTTCTCACAAGGCCGTGGGACTTCCGAGCCTTCTGAGAAGGCCCGCCCTTGCTCACTTCCCCCCGGGGCTCGCCGCCGACGAAGAGAGGACGCGGGCGACGGGCAAGTGTTTCTTTCCAGGGTCGAGGCCATCGGTGCAGGGAAACCGTCGCGAACATTGGAGCCGAGCCGTGCCATCAAGGATGGGTACCTGCCCTCGATTTGGCACGCCATTTTTCTTTCGTAGTCCTCCAACCTTCTTGGCGCGCGTGCACGAGGACGTGACGGACGGGTAGACCAGAAGGGACTGGGAACAGCCACAATTTGCCATGCGCTCGCCCTCTCACATCGAGGCGTTTGCGCGCACGGTGTGGACCCTTGTCCTCTGTTCGTGTGGGTGCGCGTCAGTCCGCCGATTCGAGCAAGGGCACGCTCACCCGAGGCTCGGCCAAACCAAACCCGAGCAGCTCGAGTACGTTCATCCTCCACCCTCCGTTGTCTCTTCCTCTGCAGGAGCAGGTGCAGAGCGTATCCCAACATAAACCCTTTCTTTATCGCTACAGCTACACACACACACACGCACACACACACACACACACACGCACACACGCACACACACACACAACGCGCAGATGAGTTGTCCCAGCAGTATCCCACATCCCTACATCCTCTCAGGAACCTGCCCTTCTCCTCAGCCATAAACCTTGTTCCCTTCCTCCTCGACATAGCGTCACGGAGATTGCGATTATGACTACTACGACTACTCTTTATTGCCACCTTCCAGCGGGCTCACGTCTCCATCTCGTGGTAGCGATGCCTTGCGAAAGAGCGTCAATGTACGAATAGACTCATTCTTGGCTGCTTCGATCATCATCCCACCTGTGCCCGGAAAGAGAGTGCACGAAAGTCAGTGTGTGGAAGTGTCTCATCACGCCTTGTTGGTTTTCGCACGGTGTTCTGCGTCGCGCCGCAGTCGTGTTCGTTCGGTCGGGTCGGTTTGGTGCGGTCGGTTGCCGAATCGTTGTCCTTGCCGGCTGCGTTCGACGGGGCGGTCTCGGCCAGTTCCCGTTGCGATGCCGGTTGGTCGATGTTCGGTGTTTTTTCCAGCGCCGCGATCGTTTTTGAGTTTTTTGTTTTTGGATCGGTGGTGTTCGTCGCGCGACACCTCGTCGCCTCGTTGCGCCGCGCCGTCCAGGATATGGAGGACTTCAAGGGCAAGCTGCACGTCCTGAACCAGGTTCAGATGCGTCCGGCTCTCCGCCTGCCCGCACGCCCACCACGAAGACCCGCAGACAACTAAGAGGAGGACTAGCACGAGAAGGAGAAGGCGCAGCTGCAGCACAGAGCAGGCACGATGAGGGGCAGCAGCATCGCTCTGCGCCCTGAAAGTGTGTGTATACACACGGCGCCACGGCTCTGACACAGTGTGACCCCAGGGGGCCCACGGCCACTGCCCCCCGGGAACCCCACCGTCCATGTTCTCCCCTCCCCTTCCGGAGTCTCCCCTGGCCTTCTCTTGAGATGCTCACAGTACTGCGAAGACGGCCTTAGTGTTTACCCACATGCCGTAGAGGTGGTCCCAACCAGCTACTGGAGGTACCACGACGATTCTCCACGTTTTGAAGGTACGTTGTTTTGATCATCGAAGTGCTACCAGCACTTGCCGCAGCGCCGCGCATCGACAGGAAGAGAATTACCACAAAAACAACGGTTGAAGCGCGGCCATTCGGCATGTTGAGACAGGCAGTCAAACTACGCAAGGGAAAAAGTCTCTAGCGGCCATGGCTGTTGGTTCCCTGTACCGAGCTTCGAGTGGGGTTGCGGATTTCTCCCCCGCTCTCTGTGGCTATAAATCAAATGACCCAGCCCAGAGCATTACCGCCAATTCGAGTGGTCCAAACCAACAGGAAACATACTGCCGCAGCTGAACCTCTGCGCACGCGCACGTCCAAAGAAACCGAAGGCCTTCGATAAAGTCCGAACGCCATCGCGATCATCAGGCGTCATGGCCGACGGTCCTACCGAAGGCAGGACTGGTGGATCCAGGACCAGAACGATTTCAATGAAGTGGACCAGTTCCAGAAGGAGCTCAGCCAGAGGGTGAACGACGAGATGAGGCTCCTGAGAGGCGAGCCGTGGGCGGCCCGACCGCATTCTTCGTCATCCCGCGCTTGGGCACGACCGCTGCACACCCCTTGCACGTCGATCGGTTCGGTCGTGCGTCGAGATGCCCACGCAAAGGGTCGATGGATCGCCAGACTCGAGCTGCGCTGAGGGAAACAAGTTCCTTGCGTGCTGCGGGCTGGTGGGCCCAGCCAGGTGCACGCATCGGTCATTCATGCTTGACGACAGTTGCGTTGTCCTGTGTGGGTGGCTGTGTGTGTTGCCGTGTGTGTGCGTGTATGTGTGTGTGTGTGTGTGTGGGTGTGTGGGTGGGTGGGTGGGTGTGTGTGTGTGTGGGTGTGTGTGGGTGTGTGTGGGTGTGTGTGTGTGGGTGTGTGTGGGTGTGTGTGGGTGTGTGTGTGTGTGGGTGTGGGTGTGGGTGTGGGTGTGGGTGTGGGTGTGTGTGTGTGTCTGTGTCTGAGTATGTGGCTGTGTCTCTGTGTGTTAGTGTGTGTGTTAGTGTGTGTGTGTGCTCGTGTGTGTGTGTGTGTTAGTGTGTCTGTGTGCTCGTGTGTGTGTGTTCGTCTGTGTGTCTGTGTGTCTGTGTGTTTGTGTGGCTGTGTGTCTGTGTGGCTGTGTGGCTGTTTGTCTGTGTGTCGGTGTGTCTGTGTGTCGGTGTGTCTGTGTGTCTGTGTGTCTGTGTGTCTGCGTGTCTGTGTGCCTGTGTGTCTGTGTGTCTGTGTGTATGTTTGGCTGTTTGTCTGTGTGGCTGTGTGTCTGTGTGTCTGTGTGTCTGTGTGTCTGTGTGCCTTTGTGGCTGTGTGTCTGTGTGTCTGTGTGTATGTGTGTCTGTGTGTCTGTGTGTCTGGTTGTCTGTGGGTCTGTGTGTCTGTGTGTCTGTGGGTCTGTGGGTCTGTGTGTCTGTGTGTGTCTGTGTGTGTCTGTGTGGGTCTGTGTGGGTCTGTGTGGGTCTGTGTGTGTCTGTGTGTGTCTGTGTGTGTCTGTGTGTGCCTCTGTGTCGGTGTGCCTGTGTGCGCCTGTGTGCCTGTGTGCCTGAGTGCCTGTGTCTGCATATCTGTGTGTCTGTGTGTGTCTGTGTGTCTGTGTGTCTGTGTGTCTGTGTGCCTGTGTGCCTGTGTGGCTGTGAGTATGTGTGTCTGTGTGTATGTGTGTCTGTGTGTCTGTGTGTCTGGTTGTCTGTGGGTCTGTGTGTCTGTGTGTCTGTGGGTCTGTGGGTCTGTGTGTCTGTGTGTGTCTGTGTGTGTCTGTGTGGGTCTGTGTGGGTCTGTGTGGGTCTGTGTGTGTCTGTGTGTGTCTGTGTGTGCCTCTGTGTGTGCCTCTGTGTCGGTGTGCCTGTGTGCGCCTGTGTGCCTGTGTGCTTGAGTGCCTGTGTCTGCATATCTGTGTGTCTGTGGGTCTGTGGTTATGTGGGCCTGTGTGTCTGTGTGTCTGTGGGTCTGTGTGTCTGTGTGTCTGTGGGTCTGTGGGTCTGTGGGTCTGTGTGTCTGTGTGTCTGTGGGTCTGTGTGGGTCTGTATGCGTCTTTGTGTGTCTGTGTGTGTGTGTTTGTGTGTGTCCGTGTGTGTGTCTGTGTGTGTCTCTGTGTCTGTGTGTGTGTCTCTGTGCCTGTGTGTGCCTGTGTGCCTGTGTCTGTGTGTCTGTGTGTCTGTGTGTCTGTGTGTGTGTATTCGCGCGTGCGGGCGTACGTGCGTGCGTGCGTGTGTTTGTGGGTGTGCAATGTGCGTGTGTGTGTGTGTGTGTGTGGGGGGGGGGGGTGTATTTGTGTGTGAGTTGCCGTGTGTGTGTGTGTGCGTACATGTGTGTGTGTGTGTTTGTGTGTGAGTTGCCGTGAGTGTGGGTGTGTGTGTGCGTGCGCGTGTATTCGTGTGTGTGTGTGTTGTATGTCGTGTGTGCCTTGTGTGTCTTGTGTGTCTTGTGTGTTGTGTGTTGTGCGTTGTGCCTGTTGTACGAGCACATGTGTGTGATGGATGTGATTGACTACGTGTTTATGGGTTTACGTATGAGCATGCGTGGCTCTGCATGCGTACGTGTGCTTAGGTATGTCTGAGTCTGTCTGGTTGTGTGTACTTTATGCGTGCTTGCGTTGGTGCTTGTCCGCCTTGTCCGCATTACAGCTTGCAAGCATACCCAATATCGTGAGGTCCGCAACACGTTGACGTCTTCGGTGATGCGAACTTGATTGTCCACACGTGGAACACGGTTCCATCTTGTGTGAGAATTCTAAGCCGAGTTCATCCAAGGCGTTTCGATTGCTCGAGCCCCCGACAGTGCATCTATCGTTACCGTCTCGGTGCCCATTGGTGTTGTTCATGGTCCTCCTACTCGTCTTCTTCCATCAGATCTTGATCCAAGCGCTCCTCCCGAGGCAAGGTGGACGAGGTCACCGACATGGTGCAGGAGGATCTGATGGGGCTGCACGGCAAGCTGTGCACCGACCTCGAGAACCTGCAGGCCGACCGGGAGGCCACGTGCGCAGCGGGGGGGCACCAGCAGCGGCAGCCGCTCTGAACTCACGACCCGCATCTCCTCGGGCCTGATGTCTGTGCAGAGCAGCGGATCACCCTCGTCCCTCGAGCCTCATCGAGTCCCCCGTCTCTCCACACTCGTGCGTCGTGGGCGAACAACATATCCGTGGCCACGGCCCCGCGGGCCAGGACCCCGGGCCGCGACCCCGTGGATGAGGGGCGCTGTCTTCGCGGATGCCCCACGCGGAGCGTGTCCGTGCGACGGCGTATCCGCGGGGTCGTGCCCCGGAGTCCAGGCCGCGAGGGCGTAAAGATGGATACGTTCGCCGCTCGTGAGCATTCCTCTCCTCGTCTCTCCTCTGCTCTCCCTGCCGCTCCTGTCCGAGTATCCTTCCAGTTGCCAGCCTGCCCCTTTTGGGTGCTGCTCCACGCGCGACCGTCGTCACCTCTATTCCACCCTCTGGAGTTCGTCGGAGTGGGGCCCTCTGCAGACCCGCATGAGGCCAGGCCCCCTGGGTGTCGCTAATCTTGCGATTCCCACCTTCCTCTTGCGCCTCTCGGGGATCCAGCGGAGTGCGGTGAGGACGTACGGTTGGCGTTGCAAAGATAGTGTGCGATGTGGGGCCGCCAGACCGTTTATTGCACGGTGTCCCCCGCTCAGGGATCGCGCGCATCGACGTCAACCGTGGACATCGCTCCTTGAGGTATTGCCAGCAGGGTGACCGTCATCAGTTTCCTGCCCCCCGTGGGGGTCAGGAGAGTGCGGTCTTACGCAGGCCAAATTACACCTCACCCCACAAGTGCAGCCAAACGGGCAACCGTCACCATCCTCTTGCGCCCCTGGGGGTCCAGCGGCATGCGATCGCATGGTGCCGCATGGCGCGCAACTGCCTCAGATGTTGTTCGCCCACCCATTCGTTCATCGGAGTGAATTTCTACAGTCGGGTTAGATAGCAGGTCGACCCTTCCAGATCAATGGTATCCTGTGTGTCCTGTGTATTCGTTTCCCGTGTCCTCTTCGTTCCTGGGGCAGCGTGCCTTCTCCAATCAAACTTGATTGTAGTCGGTCATGCAGTGGAGAACCACGCCGAGAAACACCCTGCTTGCCTCCAGGGTGCCCTGGGTGTCCCGGGTTCCGGTGGTTCTGCCATGGCAAGCGGCGCGCTCCCACGCAACAAAAATCCACGGACGTCCTGGGGTCTCGAGGTTGGCTTTCTTGTGGGAGGTCTCTCGTGGGAAAAAAAACACACTGTGGAAAAAAAACACAGTGGGAAAGAACACACACACACACACACACACACTGCGGGAAAAGACACACACTGCGGAAAAAAACACACACGTGTGGGAAAAACACACAGATGTGTGTGTGTGTGTGTGTGTGTTTTTTTTCCCGCGGACGTGTGTCTTTTTCCCACAGCGGCCGGGCCCCCACCGGAGCGCCGCCGGAGGCCCGGAGAGCCGGCCGGCGTGGAAGGGTCTGGCGGTCGAAGTGCCGCCAAGCGTTCGGGTTTGGGGAGCGCGTTTCGGTATTGCTCGGGGGCAGCATGGGCATTTCTAGCCCCTGGCCCCCTCTCCCCCCCCCCTCCCCCCCCCCTATGACGTGACGCCCCTCCCCCCCATCTGGACGCCCGAAATGGGTACGGAAAGAATGGGCACGATGCCCAGCACCAGCTCCTGCTCATTCTGAACAGGGCTTGTTGTCCACGCCGCCGCGGCCTGTGTCCATTCGAGACAGAGGGCCGCCTGCCCAACAGCGGCCGCTGCTGGTTTGGGACAGCATTTGTTGTTGGGCATTGTACCCATTCTTTCCGTGCCCATTTCGGGCGTCCAAACCCCAGAGCGCTCTGGGCACTGCCGCCGTGCGCACGGCAGGGGGGGAGACCAAGCGGGCGACTGCCCCCCGCCTTCCTGCAACAAATCCCGGGGGGCCCAGCAGCCCAGCGGAGCGGCACGGCGCGCGCACCGCCCCGCGAAAATGTATTAGCGAGCCAGGGCAGCACCGCGCGGGCAGCCGTCGCCACTGCCGTCGAGGACGGCACGGCCCATCGCCGAGGGTAAAAGAGCCCCTGACGCCAATGCTGCGGTGACGATGTGGCCTCGCTGAGGTCCCCGTCGTTGCATTCGGGATCGTAATTCTGGGCGGTTGGGTTCGATGCATCTGCAGAACGGGCCCCCTTATCTCTAATGTTGTCGGCCCTCCGAACTTAGCTCCCCTCCCAAAGGGTTAGGGGTCTTTTTGTTTGTTGATCAGCCCACCCCCAACCCCAGACAGGAAGTGGGGGTCCTGGCTGGCGGTGGGTGTGTTTTTGCGGGTGTTCTCGGAGGCCATGCGGCACCCTCATCCCCAGCCAGGGCCCCCTGGATCACCAGGTCGGGGGTGGGGGTCCTGGCTGGAGGTGGGGGTGGGCTGTGCTGTCCTCGGTCTTGCGCCTCTCGAGGGGGGGCGCAGCGGTGCGACACGCAGATCCGAACTTCGGGCTCGCCCACCCCGAGGCTGCAAGGCGTGACAGTGTCGCCGATCTCTTGGGTTCCTGTAGGCGTCCAGCATTGAGCTCCGCCACCCCTGACTAGACCTGGCCTCCCCGGATGCTGCCAAGCGCGCAAGCATTCCACTTCCCTGCGCCCGGGGAAGTCAGCGGGGCGCCCCGCCACGCAGGTCCAGATCAGACCTTTCCATCCCCGAGTGCAGAAAGGCGTAGGACCCTTGCCACTCACTTGCGCCCTGGGAGCATTCCAGCGCGCTCCCACGCTATCGCAGGCCTAGAGGTTGACACCAACACCAAGATCAGCGGCGTTCCTCCGCCGAGGGAGGAAGATCCCGATCTCGGTGATGGTGGTAATATTCTGGCTTCCAAGGTGGCTGAAATATTACCACCAACACCGAAATCTAGGATCACCTCCCCCCTGTGGAGGCAGCCCTCTGTCGTGGTGGTGGTGCCCATCTCCAGGCCTCCCACGCTACGCAGACATGACTAGGTTTCGGCCCCTTGGGCGCTGCCAAACGCGAAAGCGTCGCCTCTTGGCGGCCCTTCTTGGCCGTCTTGGGGTCCTCTTGGGGCGCTTCTGGGCCGTATTGGAGATCTCTGGGGCCGTCTTGGGTCCGTCTTGAGGGCCTCTTTGGCCGTGTTGGGGGCTTCTTGCTCTGTCTCGGAGCCTTGCTCGGGTCTTCTTGGGCCGTCTTGGGGCGGTCTAGGAGGCCTCTGGGGCCGGCTTGAGCCATCGGATGCCCGAGAGGGCGAGACAGTGTCGTCATTGCTTGAATCCTTGAGGAGTCCAGTGGAAAGTCCCGCCGCGTGGTCTTGGCTAGACCTCTCATCCCTGGAGGCGACGCCGAACGAACAAATTGTCCCCAGTGCTGGTGCCTTGGTTGGTCCAGCCGTCCCCCGCGACACAGATCTGCGTGAGCAGACCTCGCTTCTCTGGGTACCGGCCAGCCGCACAACTGCTGCTACGTCTTGTGCCCAGGGCCCATGGGGGTTTCCAGTGGCGCATCGTCCCGCGTGCATCCAAATGATTTCTCGTCTCCCCGGGTGCTGCCAGATGTTTCGGGCGCTCTGGGTGCGCCCATGGGCAGTATCGTTTACCGACCAGGGTCCCCAGCGAAAGCATCATTTCGATCGACTTGGTCGTGCACATCACGCCGCGAAGGTTGAAGCATGTATCAGCGAAGCTGCTAAGTGTGGCCAGCGCGGGCGATTCCATGAGTCCGAATAATTATAGTGCACACACCAGTTGTGGGTGTTGAGCTCACTCGCCGCCCGTCCGGCACGCGAAGTGGCCAGCGAGAGCGGCGGCAGGCACCCCAGCGAGAGGCGGAGCCGAGGCTGCGCCAGAGAGCCACGGAGGAGGGCCGCGGGCGGCACGGCCAGCAGGGGAGGGCCCAGGGTCGCGGACACGCGAGCATGGATCCAGGAGCTTGGCTCGGCGGCGGGTCCCGCTTCCCTGCACCACCAGGCGCGCGCCACGACTCGCGAGGTGCCCTCTCGCGACCGTCAGGAACGCGTCTGCCGCGGTGTAGCGGGTCGCAGATCTTCCGCGGCGGAGCCAGGCCATTTGCAAGTGGTTGCTTTTGCGAGTGATGGAACGCGCTTGTCGACTACAGAATCGGCTCGCTCATTGGCCAAATCAGGCGGCACCGGCCCACCATGTTGCGGGGGGTGTTCTCCCGCATCCGTGGTCGCCGATTGTTTGGCAGTCGCCGATGGTCTGGGGAGCCCGGCTGTCGCCGGTTCTCCGAGTTGCGATTTGCCCAAGGGTCGCGTTTCGATGACATTCAGTTGCGGTGTTGTTATATTGTCCTGGGGGGGAAAAATGGATTTGTAATCTATTCGGCGCGGAGTTTGGGGGGAAGTGAGACAGGGCGGGCCTCCTCAGACAGCTCGGAAGGCCTCTGGCTCGAAGTCTTCCCCGAGGACCGAAGACGCAGAGCACTCCTCAGAAGGCCCGAGGGCTTCTGAGAAGCCCCGCCGCCTCTGAGAAGGCCTCCTCCTCCTCACTTCCCCCCCTCGCGCGCCGCCCAGGAAGGAATCCGTAGTCTTAAGTCGGGCCTGTCCCCCTACAGAGGGATTTTCGACATTAAAAGTACCCCAACAATGCCCCAAAAAGGTCAACAAATATTCAAAAGATAGTCCCCTGACTATTTTGGGACTATTGCTTGATTATTTCGGGGGTATTTTTCATTTTTCCCTGAAAATCCCCCTGTAGGGGGACAGGCCCGACTGCACCGTAGTCTATGCTCGCGCGCGCCCGACCCGGTGGGAGGAGGCCGAGGAGCGGTGCCGAGGGCACGCAGGAGGCCCACGGGCGGAGGGCGGGCCCGCGGCGGCGGCGAGGCCGCGGCGAGGGGCGCATGGCTCCTCGTGGCCCAGGAGGGGGTGCAGCGGAGAGGGGGCGTCGGGCCGGACGAAAGGGGGGGGATTGGGAAAGGGCGGGGTTACGAAATTTGCTGCATGCAGCTGGTTTCGGCCTCACCGAGGGGCCCATTCCTCGATACATGGGCGCCTCCCGGCGCCGGGAGGCGCCGGGAAAATCAGCTACGCGAGCTGATTCTCAAACCCCCCCTTTGCTATCCCCCCCTTTCGCCCGACCCGAAAGGGGGTCCCCGGCATCGCTCGGACGTGTGCATTTTTCCTTCGGCGAGGACCATCGAGGACCATCCTGGACCATCGACCAACAAAAAGAACCACGCACGAAACCGAAACGTGCACGGGAAACGGGCGTCCGAGCGACGGCAAGAGAGGGGGTCCATTTGAGAGGGGGTGGCGCAACAGTCAGGAGGGGAAAAAAAACACAGACACAATGAATCGTCGATTCCCCAGAAAATACAGGAAAATATAGGAGTTGGGCGAGAGAAGGCAAAAACCCAGAAAATATGGGGAAACAAACTATGGGGAATCCTTGTATTTGTGTGTATTTATTGCGAAGGCCTGACGGCCGGTGCCGCCGACCCTGTTCGCAATGCGCAGCAAGAGATTACGAGGTTGCTCAAGGTCGGCTTGGCTGGAGCCCAGGGGAAGAGGAGTCCCAGGGGGGGGCGTCGTATCTGACCCGGGGGGGGGGTCGCTACCCCCCCCCCCTCCCGGCGGGGGAGGGATCAAAGGGAAGGGGCTTCCCTTCGACTCAATTACGAGGTTGCTCAAGGTCGGCTTGGCTGGAGCCCAGGGGAAGAGGAGTCCCAGGGGGGGGCGTCGTATCTGACCCGGGGGGGGGGTCGACACCCCCCCCCCCTCCCGGCGGGGGAGGGATCAAAGGGAAGGGGCTTCCCTTCGACTCAATTACGAGGTTGCTCAAGGTCGGCTTGGCTGGAGCCCAGGGGAAGAGGAGTCCCAGGGGGGGGCGTCGTATCTGACCCGGGGGGGGGGTCGACACCCCCCCCCCCCTCCCGGCGGGGGAGGGATCAAAGGGAAGGGGCTTCCCTTCGACTCAATTACGAGGTTGCTCAAGGTCGGCTTGGCTGGAGCCCAGGGGAAGAGGAGTCCCAGGGGGGGGCGTCGTATCTGACCCGGGGGGGGGGTCGACACCCCCCCCCCCCTCCCGGCGGGGAGGGATCAAAGGGAAGGGGCTTCTCAATTACGAGGTTGCTCAAGGTCGGCTTGGCTGGAGCCCAGGGGAAGAGGAGTCCCAGGGGGGGGCGTCGTATCTGACCCGGGGGGGGGGTCGACACCCCCCCCCCCCTCCCGGCGGGGGAGGGATCAAAGGGAAGGGGCTTCCCTTCGACTCAATTACGAGGTTGCTCAAGGTCGGCTTGGCTGGAGCCCAGGGGAAGAGGAGTCCCAGGGGGGCGTCGTATCTGACCCGGGGGGGGGGTCGACACCCCCCCCCCCCTCCGCGGGGGAGGGATCAAAGGGAAGGGGCTTCCCTTCGACTCAATTACGAGGTTGCTCAAGGTCGGCTTGGCTGGAGCCCAGGGGAAGAGGAGTCCCAGGGGGGGGCGTCGTATCTGACCCGGGGGGGGGGTCGCCCCCCCCCCCCCCTCCCGGCGGGGGAGGGATCAAAGGGAAGGGGCTTCCCTTCGACTCAATTACGAGGTTGCTCAAGGTCGGCTTGGCTGGAGCCCAGGGGAAGAGGAGTCCCAGGGGGGGGCGTCGTATCTGACCCGGGGGGGGGGTCGACCCCCCCCCCCCTCCCGGCGGGGGAGGGATCAAAGGGAAGGGGCTTCCCTTCGACTCAATTACGAGGTTGCTCAAGGTCGGCTTGGCTGGAGCCCAGGGGAAGAGGAGTCCCAGGGGGGGGCGTCGTATCTGACCCGGGGGGGGGGTCGACACCCCCCCCCCCCTCCCGGCGGGGGAGGGATCAAAGGGAAGGGGCTTCCCTTCGACTCAATTACGAGGTTGCTCAAGGTCGGCTTGGCTGGAGCCCAGGGGAAGAGGTCTCCCAGGGAAAGGGAAGGACAGAGACGACGAGTACAAAGAATGACGGAGATGACGGCTCGAACGGAAAAGCCCCTCACACACGCCGACAGGGTCGGCGGATTTGTGTGTCCCAGGGCCCCTTCAAACAGATTTGGGGCAACTGTTTTGTAAGTGCACTGCGCTAGGGACTTGTGTTGCATTGTGCTGCAACGGATGCATGGCACGGAAGAATCCAGCAGTACGGTTGCGCACCATAATGTGTTGCACATCCCAAATCTGCTGCAACCCCACAGCTCGATTGCGCCAAATCTATTGCACCACCCCCTGTTCGCTGGACCCCCCTTTGGATCAACCAGATCACGCACTCGTCCGGAAGCGTCTCCCAGGGGCCCATCTCTGTGCAGGTCGACTTGCACCCCAGCGTGGCAGCAAGGGTCTCGATTCGGGAGCCTTGGGACGGGGGTCAGTTCAAACGGGGTCAGCCAACGTGCCGGATCTTGCAGGACCGTCCGGAGCCGGAGCTACATTGTTCCAGGTCCGCGCGCAGGATGTTGGCGCAGGCCCCTGCAGGATCCTGCAAGATCTTGCAAAGCCCGACTGACCCGCGTGTGCACTGATCCGTGTCAAAAGATCACCGATAGATTCGGGCGTTGCGTAATTCAGGGGCGACGAATGGAGGGGGGAAAGAGGTGCACCGTTCATGCCCTAGGGGAGCCCCCTGGGGCCCAAAAGGGGGACGAAAGGTGCACGCTCCGTCACCCTCCAGTGCTCGCCCCCCCATTAAGCAACGCCCGGCCGATGTCTGTGCAGGTCTAAGACGAAGAGTTGGTCTTGGGGGAAGGCCCTGGAGTTCAGGACCCGTTTTCCTCATGGGGGGCGCGTAATGAGGGGGCGATAACTGGGGGGGGCAGCGAGGGCTGCAGAAAAGACCTCCTCTAGGGCCCCTGAAGGGGCCCGCTTGGGCCCCAAAGGAGGCCCTTCGGGCCCGAGAAGGGCGCCTTTCTCCCCCCCCCCTCCAGGAGCTGTTCCCTCCAAGCCAGTCGCAGGGGCGGCTTCTTGCCAGGGTGCTTCCAGCACGCTGGCGGCTCTAGCCAGGCCAGGGGAGAGGCAGCAGTTGGCAGCCCCCCCAGAAGCCCGATGTCGTCTGTTTTTTTCGCAGCGCCGACCCCAGGAGATCTCGACCACTTCCTGGGGGCCAGCTTTCCGTCATCGGTTGCCCAGAGGAGGTCCTCAAGACCCGAAAAGTTGTCGAGAACCGTCCGTCGTGGTTTTTGTCACGACGCGAGGGGGTTCGGACTTCCAGGTCATAGCTCAGCTTCCCGGCGGACGTGCGGCACGATCCGCGTGCGGCACGATCCGGGCACACCCCAAGCGCTCTCAGCGAGGCGCAGCGGCCGAAGAGCACCCGGCGGCTGGAAAACCGCCGAGAAGCTGCGAGGACGCCCGGAAACCTCGGCCCTCGAGCCCGAAGACCGCCTCAACGTCCGAAAGATCACAGAGCCGGGCGGCCTCGTTGCGAAGAGCGGCGGCGGCGGGGAGAGGGAAGCGCGCGGCCCTATGGGTGGCGACATCCGAGCCCTACCCCCGTCAGCCATGGATTCTCCTGCATCGATGGGGAGACGGGGGGACGGCTCGTATATGTCGCCCCACGTGTTCGGCGAACTGCGAACCCTACTCCGAGTTTATGAATAAGCGTCGGGGGGGGGGGCGTCACCCCCGACGAGAGCCCCGCATCGACCCCCGTCGCGGGCAGCCACCGCGCGCCGAAGGCGCTCCGTCCCCCGGCGCGGCGCGACGACGAGGCGAGGCTGACCCCCGTCGGGGGGGTACCCCCCCCACGCAGATTATAGCAATGCCCAAAGTGCCCCGCCGCCCAGCGAGTTGCTCGAATCGTTGATCGGCAAGGGTGGGGTGCGGATCTCGCCGCCGAGCGGCGGCGGCGCGAGCGCAGGCCGCGCCGCGCGTCTTCGGCCTGCCCAGCCCAGGCATCGGTGCGGTCATCGTGGAGGAGCGCCCCCTTCGCCCAGGTGTCAGGGGGCACCCGAGAGGTGCACGGGGGCCAGTTAGGGCGTGTGCGCGGGCGTGTGTGTGTGTGTGTGTGTGTGTGTGTGTGTGTGTGTGTGTGTGTGTGTGTGTGTGTGTGTGTGTGTGTGTGTGTGTGTGTGTGTGTGTGTGTGTGTGTGTGTGTGTGTGTGTGTGTGTGTGTGTGTGTGTGTGTGTGTGTGTGTGTGTGTGTGTGTGTGTGTGTGTGTGTGTGTGTGTGTGTGTGTGTGTGTGTGTGTGTGTGTGTGTGTGTGTGTGTGTGTGTGTGTGTGTGTGTGTGTGTGTGTGTGTGTGTGTGTGTGTGTGTGTGTGTGTGTGTGTGTGTGTGTGTGTGTGTGTGTGTGTGTGTGTGTGTGTGTGTGTGTGTGTGTGTGTGTGTGTGTGTGTGTGTGTTGCGCGTGTGTGTGTGTGTATGTGTGTGTAAGTGTGTGTCTAAGTGTGTGTGTGTGTGTGTGGGTGGAAGTGTGTGGAAGTGTGTGGAAGTGTGTGGAAGTGTGTGGAAGTGTGTGATTGTGTGATGGTGTGATGGTGTGATGGTGTGATGGCGTGATGGTGTGATGGTGTGATGGTGTGATGGTGTGATGGTGTGATTGTGTGATTGTGTGATGGTGTGATGGTGTGAGGGTGTGAGGGTGTGAGGGTTTGAGGGTGTGAGGGTGTGAGGGTGTGAGGGTGTGAGGGTGTGATGGTGTGACTGTGTGATTGTGTGATTGTGTGATTGTGTGATTGTGTGATTGTGCGTGCGTGCGTGCGTTCGTGTGTGTGTGCGTGTGCGTGTGCGTGTGCGTGGGGGTGCGTGTGCGTGTGTGTGTGTGTGTGCGTGTGCGTGTGTGTGTGTGTGCGTGGGTCAGTGTCAGTGTAAGTGTAAGTGTGTAGTGTCAGTGTAAGTGTAAGTGTAAGTGTTAGAGTAACTGCAAGTGTAAGTGTTAGTGTTGGTGTTAGTGTTGGTGTTCGTATAAGTGTTATTTTTAGTGTTAGTGTAAGTGTAAGTGTAAGTGTGAGTGTGTGTCAGTGTCTGTGTGTGGATGTGTGTGGTTGTGTGTTTGTGTGTGTTTGAGAGTGTGTTTGTGTATGATTGTGTTTGTGTTTGTGTGTGTGCGTGTGTGTGTGGGTGTGTGTGCG